CGAACACAGCTTAGTTCTTGAACTCTAAACTTGCGAAATCAAAAATTCATATGTTGAACCCATATGCGAATATTAACCCAATTGACTTCAAATTGATTCACAGATGCAAACACTCAATTGTTTTACTTTCGCAAATTGAGCATCAACAACTCCACAATCGAGTTTTTAAATTCTTGCAAACAACAATTTCACAGTCCTTGACTTCGCGTTTTTCTTCACGAATCATCCCTCAATCATCAATCCAATTGCGAATCAAAACTCATATGTTCTTGCTTTATCGATTCATCGACTACACTCATACAAATGCGAACAATACTCAATTTCAAAATCGATTGAAACTACTGGTCCCAAAAAACTTACTATTAAAATAAAATAAAAATAAGAACAACATCCGATACTACGTAAACAACTCTCTACTACCATTATATATACATTACTATAAAAAAAACTCAACTTCAACCCCAATAGTGTTAATAACAAATATTTTAATCATATACACACCTACACAAATATAGGCTGCATTACTAATACCACCAAAACAGGCCACCTCACACCCTAAATACAATTGCATGCAATGACTTATCTAACCTACTATAACAGCAATGCCACCCACAGAAATTTAGATACACACACGTCATTGATTAACCACACCCATAACATCCCCCCCCCCCTCTTCACTCTTTTCATAAATTCTATAAAAAGCCAACAACTGAAACACGTACAATAGGCATATTAAAAGATGAACAACCAACAATTCCACCACGTGCTCCTCTCACTCATTGCTTACATTCGAGAAGTAGCAGATCTTATTGAAGCAGCTCAGACGAAATTACAAGAAGGCTTCACCATGGATGAAACCTCTCACACCTGTCTCTCGACAGATGGTGACAACCCCATCTCCAGAATCCTGAAAACAATCCTGCAAGATACCAAAGAGGAGGACCAGTCCATGGAAGACAACATCTCCTTCATGCTTGGATCAATTCATAAACGAATTGGAAAATACAAACGCACAATCAAAGATACAACTGATGACTAAACGATGGCGTTGTCTTTATGTTTCCCTATGTTTATTTCCTTTACGTTTATGTTGCGTTCATTCCTATCCTTTAGTGTTATCATGTAAAATACCTTCCATATGGGTATATAAATAAATATTATATTACAAACCAACGTACCTTACATAAGCAGTTAACCCACAACCCTCCAATCCACATAACGTCAAACTATCCATTGACAATTTCCACATAAATATTTATCATCATTTAAATGCAACACAGCGCCAAAGGCGCACACTTGATTCCTGCTAGTTACATATAAAAAACCATATCTCATAATAATTATATTTTTAGCTGATGATAATAATTATAATGTGCTTAAAACAATAGTTTTGTGTTTGATTTATCTCTTCCATCGGATACCTTAACATACGCACACAAAATCCAGTAACTTCTATTATATTCTATTAAATTAAAATAATAATTTCACGATAAACGACATACAACGATTAAAATATGTTTTTGTGGAATTATCATTGACACGTATCATGATTCCATTGATCCACTTTACATCTGGTCCACAGCCCACCCACGAAAACGGTCCACAAAAAAAAAAAAAAAAAAAAAAAAAATACCAAACCGCCTCAAGTAGTTGACTTGTTCCGTGTTTGGCGCGTAAACGCGTAAACCAAACCGACATAGATGTTGTTATATATACACTCTCCCAACATACAATTTCGATTACAAATCAAATCTGATCTATATGGGTCGTAAGCTCTTCATGAATCTTTAGTTATATTGTTTATTTTGATTTTATATTTTGATTTAGGATTTGTTGCTTTGATCGATGGTTATGATGATAAATTCGTCATGGCAAATCTTGATCCGCAACGGTTTTCAGGTTCATATACGCTCTCTAATTTAAGATTTGATCGGTCGATAGTTTCGATCTGAAAGATCAGATCTTTATCAGGTGTTTCCAGGTTCTTCCTCTCTTATGCTGTTCTAAGTGGGTTCAGGTTCTTTTTCTAAGTATCTTCTATGAGGAGATGCGGGTTATAAATAAAATTTTATCTGCAAATCTACTTGCTGTGGCAGATCGATAGGGTTATTGGTCCAGATCTGCAAGAAATTAAAGATTAGATATTATTGACGACGACAATTCTTGGATCATGGTTATGGAAGATACATGATCAGGTCATTGGTTGGTAGGTGGGATAAGTTATGACAAATATTGTTAGCCTTGTTCAAGTTTCTACCTTGGATGATAATCTGAATCTGAATTAAGGCTCTGTTTTGCCAGATCCATAGGGTTTTTGGTCTGTAGGTGGGGAGAAACTGTCGGCAAATATTATCGGCCTACGATTACATTTTCTTTTTCTGGTAGCATCTTCTTTTGATAACAATAAAGTTTTGATTGCAAAGCCTGGTGTGACATAATGCCCTGTCTGTGTTTTTAGGGGCTGGAAATTAAGATCCGATAATAACATCTTTTAAAGAAGTCGTTATATCAAAGATTTTGATGATCAATTCATGTTGGGTGGAGTAAGATTTAATTGATAGTTGGTTGCTGTTATTCTGCCTTCTCAATTTGGTTTTGGTATATATGACAATCAAGAAAGGTTAATTAGATCCTTTATTTATTGTGTGTGTAGTGTTATTTTGCTGGTTATTGGGAAGCTACCATCTGCTCATCATGATTTGACTATTGGATTAGTTCATAAGGTTTGTTGGTAAATGAAAAGCAACATCCTTTATGGAATTTTCTCAATTTTCGTCTGTAAGCTGCTGATAATATGGGGAAGAGATCTGCTTGTGTTCTTTGTTGATAGGTACTGCAGAGATTCTGATTGTTGTTGATGGAGTCTTAAGATTGATGCCAAATAATAGGATTGTGATTTGTCTATGTAGGTTTGTTGGGTGCCAAAAATCATGATCCAGGCATCTTGATGACCATCTATTTTGCTGGGTTTTCTTCAAAATTTATGATCATATTCTTTTTAAAATTATTGGTATTCCCTGGTTATATCATATGATGTGGGTTATTTCGCCTTGCTCTCTTGTTGATAGGTCTAAGAAAAGCTTGGATATGGATTGGAACAGATGATTTACACTTGCAGTTGATTAGTATTTTTTCATGTCCTATGAACTTTTTTTTTTTCTTAGATCCTAAATGGCCGTCTTCAATTTTATGTTCCAGAAATAAGAGGATTGTAGTTGTGTCTGTGTAGGTTTTGATGCGTGCCAAATACAATGGTGCAGACATCTTCTTATTTGATCATTCTGCTGGTTTTTCTTTGATTCTTATGATCATTTTCATTTTGAAGCTTACTAGTTTTCATCTTTCCAACATGACAAGATCAGTTTTGTCTTGTTATCTTGCTGATAGGTCCAAGGAAACTTGAACATGGATTGAATACGTTGTGTAGTTTGCAGAAAGAACAACACATGAATTGATGACCTTTTCAGTTCGATAAGTCTCATGTGGCCCCATAAAACTTTTCATCCTTTTCTAGTTCTTGCAATGACTGACATCCTTAATTTATAGGTTCCAGAAATACTAAAATTGTGTTTTGTGTATGTAGGTCTGTTGTGCGTCAAACACCATGGTCGAGAGTCCCTTGTGATCATTTTTCTTGTTTTCCTACAATTTTTAACATCGTTTTCTTTTCTAGCTATAACATGATTGGTGTTCCATCCTTTGTCGATAATAAGAATCTTTTGTCTTGTTCTCTTGCTGATAGGTCTAAGAAAGCTCATATGTGAATAGGCCTTGTCCATCCTGGTTTGTTTCCAGCTAGGTCTATTCTGTCGATCCTTTTGTGTAATCTTGCTTTTGTAAATTTTGTAGTAAAGAGGCTACCCTTGGTAAAACATTTGTATATTTGGGTATGTCCATAGGCCGGATAAGTTATGATTGGGTATTATTATCTGAAGAGAGGCAGGTTATAATTAAAATTTTGACTGCGAATCTACTTGATTGACAGGGTTATTGGTCCATATCTGCAAGAAATTACGATTAGATATTATTATCCAAGCGACAAATCCAGGTTCTTTTTGTATGCCCATATATTCGATCATGGTAATATTTCAATAGCAAAGCTAAGCAGATACATGATCAGGTTATTGGTTGATCTTAGGTGGATATATTATATATGCCAAGATTGGTTGATCAGGTTCTTCAATTTTCTAGCTTGGAATTGGATGATAATTTTATTTTGATATGAATGTGGCACATCTTTAGGGTTATTGGTCTGTAGGTGGGGAGAAACTGTCAGCAGAGATAGTATTGGCTTATGGTTTCAGGTTCTTCTACTGGTAGCATCTTCTTTTGATAACAATACAGTTTTGATTGCAAAGCCTGGTGTGGCATAATTAATGGCATGGCTATGTTTTTTAGGGGCTGGAAATTTGGATCTGATAACATCTTCCAAAGAAAGAACTCATAATATCAGATTCTTGATTTTGATGATCATCAGTTCAGTTGTAAATGTGGGGTGGAGTAAGATTTAATTGATTGTTGGTTGCTGTTATACTGCCTTCTTAATTTGGTTTTGGTATGACAATCAAGAGAAGGTTAATTAGATCATTTATTGTGTGTGTAGTGTCATTTTTCTGGTTATTGGGAGGCTGCTTTCTGCTCATCATGTTTTGACTATAGGATGGTTATATCTCTCTCTTCTTTTGTCTGGATTAGTTCATTCTATTTGTTGGTAAATGAAAAGCAACATCTTCTATGGGTTTCTTCCTGAGTTTTCTGGATTTTGATCATCACCATATCTCATTGCTGGTTTCTATAGGCTGCTGATATATTTTTCGTAATTGGGGGAAAAGATCTGCTTGTTTTCTTTGTTGATAGTTACTACAGAGATTCTGATTGTTGTTGATGGAGTCTTAAGATTGATGCCAAATAATAGGATTGTGCTTTGTCTATTTAGGTTTGTTGAGTTGGGTGCCAAATATCAAGATCCAGGCATATTGTCTTGATGACCATTTATTTTGATGGGTTTTCTCTACATCTTATGGTCATATATTTTTTTAACATTACTGGTATTCTGTAGTTCTGTCATCATGATGAGAGTTTTTTTCGTCTTGCTGTCTTGTTGATAGGTCATGTATGTGGATTGGAAGAGATGATTTACACTTGAAGTTGATTAGTACTTTTTCATGTCCTTCTTGGTTCCTAAATGGCAATCTTCGGTTTTATGTTCCTGAAATAATAGGGTTGTAGTTGTGTTTATGTAGGTTTGATTGGTGCCAAATACAATGGTGCAGGCATCTTCTTATTTGATCATTCTGCTGGTTTTTCTTTGATTCCTATGATCATTTTCATTTTGAACCTTAGTAGAATTCATCTTTCCATCATGACAAGAATTTTGTCTTGTTATCTTTGTTGATAGGTCCAAGGAAACTTGAAGGTGGGTTCAGCCTTTGTGCCTCCTGGTTTGTTGTCACCCATGGCTAGCTGTTATGTGAATCCTTGTTGCGCATATATGGAATAAAAATAATACTATCATATCTGATTCGCATATCAGTTTGTGGTAAAGATTAAAAAAAAAAAAAGTTCGTTGTGCATTTTTGTAGCATAGTCAGTCGTCTTACTGTCTGATTTAATTTGGAAAGCTCAATCATTCATGGTGTAATTTGCAGAAAGAACAACTCATGGATGAAGCTTGCAGTTCAATAAGTCTCATCATGTGGTCCCCTAAAAACTTTTCATCCTTTTCTAGTTCTTTCAATGACTGACATCCTTAATTTATAGGTTCCAGAAATACTAAAATTGTGTAGTGTGTATGTAGGTTTGTTGTCTGCCAAACACCATGGTCCAGCCCCTTGATGACCATTTTGCTGGTTTTTTCCTATAATTTTAAGATCATTTTCTTTTCAAGCTATAACATGATTGGTATTCCATCCTTTGTTGCTAATAAGAATCTTTAGTCTTGTTCTTTTGCTGATAGGTCTAAGAAAACTCATACGCGAATAGGCCTTGTCCATCCTGGTTTGTTTCCAGCTACTAGGTCTCTTCTGTCAATCCCTTTTTGTAATCTTGCTAATTTTGTCAATCTTTTTAGTAAAGAGGCTAGCCTTGGTAAAGCACTTGTGAAGTAAAAATTACAAGCCCTGTTTCAGTTTTATGTATTATTTGTGATGAAAGTCGTGTAGATTAGAGCAATGGGGTTTCATTGGTGTCTAATCGCCTCATTGTCCAGGCTAGTTTGTAAGGCTTAATGATTGTACATGGTTCTATTTGTAGGTTTTGTTGAAAGGAGCAATACATGGTTGACATTTGCAGTTCGATTAGTATTTTGTCTTGTCCTAATTTTTTTTTTTTCATTCTCATAAAAAGAGTCTTCATTTATGTGTGAGAACTAAGAGGATTGTAGCTTTGTCTGTGTAGGTTGTTTTGGTTCCAAATACTATGGTTCAAGCATTTTGATGACCATTCTTCTCTGGTTTTTCTTTGATCCTATCTACCAACTTCCCATTCTTTCCTAGTAGTTCCTTTATCAACCAACATCCTTAATTACTTGGTTCCTGAAATAATAGAATATATCTTGTCTATGTAGGTTTGTTGGGTTCCAAAATACCATGGTCCAGGCATCTTGATGGCTATTTTTCTGGTTTTTTCTTGATGTCTTATTAGCATTTTTTGTTTTTGCATTATTGGTATTCAGTAGTTCCATCATGATGTGAGTATTTTGTCTTTATCTCTTGCTGATAGGTTCAAGAAAGCTTGTACGTGGATTGGGCCTTTGTCCTTCCTTGGTGGCTTTTCCATGAATCCTTTCTGTGATCTTTTAATCGTAAAAAGCAAAAGCCTCGTACAAATTTCAGATGATACTTTGTGAAAAGATGAGGTTTATTAAATCTATGGGTTTCTTAGTTGCATAATTGCGTCATCGTCTGATCTAGTTTGGAAGGCTTGATGATTTGACCTATTTCTACATGCAGGTTTTGCTCAAACAATAAACAACACATGGTTGGCATTTGCAGCTGATTAGTATTTTTTTTCGTGTCCCAAAATCTTCGTATCTTTCTCTTAGCTCCTATATTGACCGTCTATAATTTTATGTGCTAAAATTAAGAGGATTATTGTTGTCTATGTAGGTTTGCTGGTTGTCAAAAGCTATATTAATCCTGGCCCTTTTGATTTTCCTTTGATTCTTACAATCCTTCTCATTTTATACATTACTGGGTTTGAGTAATCCCATCATGACATGAATTCTTTGTCTTGTTATCTTGCGGATAGGTCCAAGGAAAGATGTGCGTGGATTGGACCCTTATTGTTCCTGGTTTGTTGTCATCTGTGGCTTTTCTTTGAATCCTTTCTGTTAGATTGCTTTTGTATAGTAAAAAATAAAGGTATCTTTTTGGTTTTATATGTGATGTGACATGTTCATGTATGTAGGTTTCACAGAAAGAACAACCAATGATTAACCATTTATTTGGCTGGGTTCTCTTCACATCTTATGATCATATTCTTTTTTAAATTACTAGTATTCCGTAGTTCTATCATGATGGGAGTTATTATTTTGTCTTGCTCTCTTGTTGTTAGGTCTAAGAAAGCTTGTATGTGGGTTGGAACAGATGATTTACACTTGCAGCTGATTAGTATTTCTTCATGTCCTATGATCTTTCTTTTTTCTTAGTTCCTAAATAGCAATCTTCAATTTTATGTTCCAGAAATAAGAGGGTTGTAGTTCTGTCTATGTAGGTTTGATCGGTGGCATAGTAAACGGTGCAAGCATCTTCTTTGATCATTCTACTGGTTTTTCTTTGATTCTTATCATCATTTTCATTTTCAACCTACGTAGTATCCATCTTTTCATCATGACAAGAATTTTGTCTTGTTATCTTGCTGATAGGTCTAAGGAAACTTGAATGTCGGTTCAGCCAGCCTTTGTGCTTCCTGGTTTGTTGTCACCCATGGCTTTTTTTGTGAATCCTTGTTGCGAATGGAATAAAAATAATACTATCATATCAGATTTGCATAATAGTTAGTGATACAGATAAAAAGAAGTTCAATGCACATTTTTGTAGCATAGTCGGTCATCTTACTGTCTGATTTAGTTTGGAAAGCTCAATCATTTGCGATGTAATTTGCAGAAAGAACAACTCATGGATGAACCTTGCAGTTCAATAAGTCTCATCATGTGGTCCCCTAAAAACTTTTCAACCTTTTATAGTTCTTACAATGAGTGATATCCTTTATAGGTTCCAGAAATACTAAAAGTGTGTTTTGTGTATGTAGGTTTGTTCTGTGCCAAACACCATGGTCCAGTCCTTGATGGCCATTTTTCTGGTTTTTTCCTATAATTTTAAGATCGTTTTCTTTTCTAGCTATAATATGAAAGCTCATATGCGAACAGGCCTTTGTCCATCCTGGTTTGTTTCCAGCTAGGTCTCTTCTGTCGATCCCCTTGCATAATCTTGCTTTTGTAAACAAAAAAAAAAAAAAAAAAATTAGTAAAGAGGCTACCCTTGGTAAAGCATTTGTGAAATGAACAAGCCCTGTTTCAGTTTCATGTGTTACTTTGTGATGAAAGTCCGGCCTGTAAGATTAAAGCAGTGGGGTATCATTGGTGTATAATCACCTCATTGGCCAGTCTACTTTGGAAGGCTTAATTAATGATTGTATATGTTTTTACTTGTAGGTTTTATTGAAAGAAGCAATACTTGGTTGACATTTGCAGTTCGATTAGTATTTTGTCTTGTCCTACAATCTTTTTATTTTTATTGTTTTTTCTTTCTCATAACGAACGTACGTCTTCATTTACGTGTGAGAACTAAGAGGATTGTAGTTTTGTGTGTGTAGGTTGTTTGGGTGCCAAATACTATGGTTCAGACATTTTGATGACCATTCTTCTCTGGTTTTTCTTTGATTCTATCTGCCAACTTCCCATTCTTTGCTAGTAGTTCCTTTATCAACCAACATCCTTAATTACTCGGTTCCTGAAGTAATAAAATATGTCTTGTCTATGTAGGTTTGTTGGGTTCCAAATACCATAGTCTAGGCATCTTGATGGCTGTTTTTCTGGTTTTTCTTGATTTCCTATTTGCATTTTTTATTTTTGCGTTATTGGTATTCTGTAGTTCCATCATGATGTGAATGTTTTGTCTTTTTCTCTTGCTGATAGGTCCAAGAAAAGCTTGTATGGGGATTGGACCTTTATCCTTCCTTTTGTGGTTTTTTCCTGAATCCTTTCTTTGATCCTTTTTTTGGTAAAAACTAGAAACCTCATATACCATTTCCACATGAAACTGTGATAAGAAGAGGTTTATCAAACCTATGGGTCTTTAGTTGCATAATTGTTTCATCGTCTGATCTAGTTTGGAAGGCTTAATGATTGTACATATTTCTACATGCAGGTTTTTCTGAAACAACACATGGTTGGCATTTTCAGTCGATTAGTATACTTCCATGTCCTAAAATCTTCATATCTTTTTCTTAATTCCTATAACAACAGTATAATTTTATGTTCCATAAATAGGAGGATTTTTATCTGTGTAGGTTTGCTGGTTGTTAAAAGCTATAATCCAGGCACCTTGAGGCCTCCTTTTGATTTTTCTTTGATTCTCACAGCTGTTCTCATTTTATAAGTTACTGAGTTAGAGTATTCCCATCATAACAAGAATTCTTTGTCTTGTTA